GTGTACTCAGAATAAGTCATAGATCTTCCTTTAACATTGTTAACTTTTAACCTTTGATATGTTGTTTTTTTCCTCCAGCAGCCTGAGTTCACTGATGGGACTTTTTATTTTAAAGATTTTAGTGAAGCTGTTTATGGTTTGAGAAAAAAACAGAAACAAACATGTTTTCCTTAAACTAACGTCTCTAATCAGCTCAATTCAAACTAAAAACATCTCCATGAAGATGATCTGAATCTGCGTTTCAAAGATAAATAAGCTGCAGAAGGAGCAGCAGGAACTTACTGGATGGAGCCGCTGATGGAGGCAGGGCGGAGGCGGGCGGACCCCAGCCCTTCATGTTGTACGCCGACACTCGGACGTAGTAAAGCCGACCCTGAAACGGGACAGAGAAGATGAAGCTGGACGTTCCTGAGCGTCGTCTTAACATCTGATGATGCTGCATCCAGCGCTGCTCAGGGCGGGGTGTGCATCAAAGTTTGGTTATGAACCTGAGGGGTGGGGGGGGGGGCGGAGAACAGAGGATCTCCGCTGCAGGGCGTGGCTGCCCACCTGCAGGCTGCACACCGCTCTGCAATTACTTCATCTTCCTGTTGGGGGTTTCAGGCGGTGTTTCCTGATGGCCAAAAGAATCCGCCTCCTTCAGGGGCTTCAGCTCCTTTATTTTCTCTGCCTCCCAGGTCAAAGTTCATCATTCTGGTAGATCTATACCTGATAGATCTCATCCATCCCTTAATTGTTCAAATCTCTCTCTCCAGTTAGATCTTCAGTCTCCCTCTGCTCCTGCTGGAATCCATCTTGGCTTTGAAGATCTCATCATAGTGTCTGCATTCAGCCAGGAGCTCATAGTTCAGGCATCCTTAACGTGGGCCCCTGAGGGCCGCTGTCCTGCAGGTTTTAGACATTTCCTGCTCCAGCAGCTGATTTCCATTGATAGTTGATTAACAGGCTATTGCTGAACTGCAATGATCAGAATCAGCTGTGCTGAAGCAGAGAAACCTCTAAAACCTGCAGGACAGCGGCCCCCCAGGACCCACTTTACGGATGCCTAGCGTAGTTATTTTCATCTGTTTTCTTAATATTGATAACTGATAATCTTATCTGTTAACTATCCAATCAGAATCTCTTCTGCACGTCTCACCAGATAAGAAATGCTGCTTCTTCCATCCCTGACTTTAACAG